TGCATGTCAAATGAAGTCAACGCTTGGTCATTTCGTCACCGACCACGAGTGTGAACAGTGACAAAAGGCGATAGCACATTGATTGCATGTACACTACACCACAACTCAACAATGAAAGCTACCCCAAAATTCGCCGAAAACGGCTTTCTGCCGGGATTTATTTTAAGGTCTCTTCCCTATTCCGGCAGTTTTGTCCCGCCATTACGCCTACCTTTTCCATCACATTCCTCTCGTGCTGGCCGAAAAGCTTCGGTCGACGGCCACCGCCTGGACACAGCGGCTGTGCCGCATGGTAATGAGCGCTGCGGTGCAGTCTACCGTCCCAGTTAGTTTTCTCGAGCTCTGTGCACAAGTCGGGGACTGCGGCACCGCTGAAGTACGGCTTAGATGAGAGGCACGAGCAGAAACAGATAGCTATAAGTGAAAATTTAAGACCGATTTCGATGAAGCATTTAGTTGTAAAAAGACGGCAAAAAGAGAGATAAGAAGGCAAATTGGTGCCGCCAATGATTATATATATATATATATATATATATATATATATATATATATATATATATATATATATATATATACATATATACATACATGAAGTAGTGATTTGTATCCGAGTTATGGATCATATTCCGGTCGTTAATTTCATACTGATTGTAGACACTTCACACGCGAAAAAATCAAAGGCGTTGGGGGGGACTCCTTGACATGACTTCGTCGATTATTGTACCGCTTTACACCCGTAAGCCACCGGTGCTTGCATTGCGGACGTTTTATGTCGATATAAAAGGGCCATCAACTCTCCAGTGGGGCCTTGTACTGACGGTGGGCGGGGGTCAGAGTACGTGCTTCTCCCGATCGCTCAGACTTTCGGTAGTGTAGACGAAAGTCGCATTCCCAAAATGGGTACATTTCCACGGATTGCAGATTGGACACGCTCCTGGTCTACACCTGGCGTTAATACTGCGTGACAGCACGTGCAATTTGCTTGACCTGGCAACAAAACCCGTACCGGAATGCGACCTGCGACAGTTTCCGTCGCTGGGCGACGATCTTGTGACCACCAACGGGCCAAACCGCTAAGTAAGGGGCGACACTCACGATAACAAATATCCCAACACATACGTTTTCACAACGACCGCCCCTCCCACAAGGCCGTCCTTGGCTGCAGGCAGTTGCGGAATGTAGCGCCATTTGAGCCGTCCCGGCACACCAGCCGGAGGTCCGGAGCTCGCATTCTTGTGCGCACTTCTGAGGCCGTGACACGTGTGGTGCCCCCTCGTGGCAGGTGGTGGAGGTGATCTCGCTGTGCGGCTCCGGCGGTCAGACCTCGCTCGAGGGCACCGAGATGAAGCTGGACGAGGCCGGCGACGTGACCTGGATACTGCCCGAGGGTGAGCCGCCGTCAGAGGCGCGAGGTCGTCAGAAGATGGCCGAGTGACAGGCAAATAGCGTGCGGCCAAATGCGCGGCCGATACTTGAGAAAGTTTGAAGTACCAGTTGGGGAAAACATGGAACAGTTGCCGAACATTACTTGTAAAGGCTGCACAAGCGAGCATCACGCGTCAGATTTGGTTGCGACAGAAACGACAGACAAAGTGTGTAGCACTTTGCACGGTCTCCCCAAATCGTGCGCCTTCTACGCATGCCGATCCTCCCGTGCATTGTGTCCCCACATCCCACAATCTGTCCAACATGCGCACACCTCACCCACCGTAAGCGTGACACCAGGGCTGGGCGGAGGCCGGCCCGCCGACGGGCGTGACGACGGCCGGAGGCCAGGGGGTCCAGCAGCGCGCGGGGACCTCAGACTGACCGCCGACGCTCTCCGTGTCCGGCTGCGCGTGACGGCCGTGCCTCACGCGGCGACGGATGGGGTTCGGACCGGGCGGCGCTGAGACCGGACACCGCCCCGTGGTGCTTGCGCCGCGGCCGCCGGTGGCCGTGGCCGCTGGTGGCGGTGCCGGTCTTCCGCCGCCATTCCAGAGTCGTACGGCTCAGTCCCTCAGTGGGTCGGGAGTCCCGCTCTCAGTAAGCGTCGTCTGAGCTTCAGGTGCGCCGCTTCTCCGGCACGCTGCTCCTCATACGAAGCAGCAATGTCGTGCCGGCCGCGGGGAACTGCTGCGTACGTTACGGGCCTCGCCGTCCTCGCTGGCAGGGCCGCGTTCTTCACTGGTCATTGGAAGCCCGTTCGCTGCTTCGAGTAGGCCCGTGCGATCCGTGACGTAGTTATAAGACTTAACTGTGACGTCACTGCCGAAACCCATTGCCAACTTGGACGGGCGGCTAAGTTAGTGCACTGAGTCGCGGTTGATGAGCTGCTGTTTACGTGGGAACGCCCAGCAACGGCCAGCGCATGTATGCAGCCTTGCGCCTGGGGCAGTTATATATATATATATATATATATATATATATATATATATATATATATATATATTAATAGGCGGATCTTCGCGGCATGTGAATTGGGTGATTGGCGATGATGTTGACCGCGGAATGTGCCCATAACGGCACAAATTCATGACATCTGAGTGTGCTATTCTGCGCTCTATATTCCAATGCACCGAATCAACTGGCTCTACTTCTTATCCGCCTATATTTGGACTTGTCCCTGTCTTTCATAGCTACGTCCCACGTACTTATCCCTGCGACGATGCGATCCCACCTACTACCTACTTCTACTATCTCAGTGGATGGCTTTTGGTTATGCTGAACGACGCCGAGGAGAGAGGGTCTGACCAACTCCACCGACCCGCCTGCGGTGGGCCGTCAGCCAAAGGTCAAGGTCACCCGTGGGCGCCCGTGATGCAGATCTGACCGTGCAAGTGTGCAGGCGGTGCCGTGCCCTTTAGCCGACAGCCCGGTGCGGGAGGATAGGCGGAGTTGGCCAGACCCGGTCTCCTGACACCCTGTCTCCTGACACCGAGGTCTCCTGACTGTTTCCTGGTATCGAGGTGTGGACCCTCCTGACATCGAGCTCCCCTGACACTCTGCCTCCTGATACCGAGGTCGCCTGGCAACCTGTCTCCTGACACCGAGGTCGCCTGACACCGAGGTCGCCTGGCGCCCTGTCTCCTGACACCGATAATTCATGACACCCTGTCTTCTGACATTGTGTCCGGACACCGAGGTACCCTGACACCCTGCCACCTGACACCATTGCGTCCCGAAACGTGTCTGATAGTTAACGGCGTTTTCTAGTGTAACGTGTTCCACTGAACACGCGCCGCCGCCAGGACACCGCGTTACCGTCCGTTGGGGCTCACACCTCCTCTATATAACCGCGATGACCTGAGCAGCCCCGCCGATGGGCCGGCCCGCCACCGTGTGACTTTGCCCTGCGCTCCGTCCGCGCCTGCCTCGGCCGGGCCGAGCGCTCCCTGAACCCGCTGACCCGCACTAACCCTCACTGACCCCCGCTGACCCCTACTGAACCCCTCTGATCCCCGCTGAACCCCGCTGAACCCCGCTGAACCCCACCGACCTCCGCTGACCTCTGCCGACCCCGCTGACCCCCACTGACCCCGCTGGCCCCCGCTGGCGTCGGCAGGCGGTGACGTCGACTGCGCCCTGTTCCGCTGCGAGGCCTACGACCTGGTGACGGACCACTCGTACAATAACGACCGGCGCTCGCTCATGCTGGCCGCCGTCAGCGGACACGCCATCGTCTTCAAGGTCAGTGCAAGGTTGCCGCTCCTACCTGGCCGCGAGGCGGCCGCCGAGAAGCCGAGGGGGAGAGAGGTAGTTGTCGTCAGCATTTTAGATGGCATCAGCTCTCCGAGAAGTCCCATGGGGATAATCAAAGTGACCGCGGTTAAGGTCATCGTCACCATCTTCGCCATCATCATCGCCATTGCCACCATCATCACCATCATGCTCACACTGACCGTCGCTGGCCTTGCGGCAGGTGGACCACCCGACGCCGCAGGACCTGATGGTGCTCACCTGCGAGGACTGGTGCATCCTGCAGTGTCAGCGCGTGCCGTGCCGCGAGCCACCGCCGGACCACGCCTTCTCGCTGGCCCGGCTGCTCGGCGCCGAGATGTACGCCGACCTGACACTCACCGCGGCCGACGGCACCCAGGTGAGGCGGCGCGGGCGGGGCCGGGCGCTGGACACCGGCCGCTGGACTCTTGACTCCCGACAGAGGACTCCGAACTCTGGACTCCGGTTATCGGACTCAGGACTCCGGACTTTGGACTCTCGACTCCCGACTGAGGACTCCGGACTCCAAACTCCGGAGTCTGGACTCTGGACTCTGGACTCCGGGCTTTAGACTCTAGGCTTTGGACTCTGGGTTCCGGCGGGGCACGGCCGGGTGAGAGGGGTGGGGCGAATAGTGACAATAAGGTTGTGGGGCGCGTGGAGGGAGGTGGCGTTAGGACATGACGGGATGGCGACGTCTGTTTGACAGTGATGATGATGATTGGTGGTATCGGGTGCTGGGAGATGATGACATCATACCAAGAGGGGTGGTGACGTCATTATGGGATGGATCGTGGGCCAGGACGGAACGAGTAGTGATGTCTGTATGGAAGGGGCGTTACGTTACGATGGGGATCTCAGTACCCAACCAAGTTATTAGGAACCTCAGACCTTTGTATGGCGCTGGCGTGCGTGTGAGTAGACAGCGACCTCAATTTAAATAAGTTAGAAGTGTAACCATAGATAGGCCATCTGCGCCGCTCGCACACGCTGGTGACCTCAGAGTCAAATTGCGGGTGATATCGGTAGATGACCCTCAGCACCGCGCCAGTGTGCGGCTGCTCACACCCGGCGTCAGACGCCCGGCGTCGCCGGCCCGTCCCGCCGCTGACGCCGCCGCCGCCGCCTCCGCCGCCAGCTGCGCGCGCACAGTCTGGTGGTGCGCCTGCTGGCGCCGACGCTCGACTGGCCGTCAGACCCGCTGCGCCACCTGCCGGCCGAGCAGCTGCGCGCGCTGCTGCACTACCTGTACACCGAGTCGCTGCCGGCCGGGCTGCCGGCGGCGGCCGCCGGCCGGCTGGCCGAGGCCGTCCGCACGCTGCCCGACCTGCAGGCGCTGGCAGAGCTCTGCCGCCGATACGTCACCAACGTCTCGCTCAGAGAGGGTGAGTCTCGCTCAGAGAGGGTGAGTCACGCTCAGGGAGGAGGGTAGTGTTCAGGGAGGGACGATGTGTTCAGGGAGGACAGATAGTGTTCAGCGAGGGCGGGAGCGTTCTGTGAGGGCAGGTAGCGTTCAGGGAGGCATGGCGCGTTCAGAACGGGTGGGCAACGTTCAGGGAGGGCACCTAGCGGTCAGGGGGGGGGGAGGCAGGTATCGTTCAGAGAAGGCAGACGGCGTTCAAGGAGGGAGGGTGCTGGGTCAAAGAGGGCGGGCTATGTTCCGGGAAAGAGAGTAGCATTCAGGGAGTGAGTTCGCTGGCTCAGAGAGGGCAGTGTCCAGGGGGTGGGAAGGGATGGCCGCTGGTTCGGAGGTAGAGTGGGCTGGGCTGGCTCAGTCGCTCAAAAAGGGCCGGATTTGCTCAGAGAGGCGGGGTCTTGCCCAGAGACCGTGCATCTTGTGCGTAGAGGGTCGGACCCATTTAGATGGACAAAGGCTGACGGCGAACATGTACAACGCAGCTCACCGCCCGTATCTGCCTCAGCCTGGCGCAGGCGGTGACACGCGGGCTGCGGGTGCTGCCATCGCTCCCTGCCGCTCCGCCGTGAAGGGAGCATTCATGACGTCACCGTCGGCGGTGCCGTCATAAGCTTGTACCGCTCGTGATGTTTTGAAGGTTGAGTCTCGCCCGTGCCAGCGCCCGCGTCTCCTATGATGTCGGTGTTTGTCCTGCCCCCCAGACAAACACCGACATCGGCTGTCGGCAGCCCCGCTGCGACGTCCCCTCTGTCAGCACACACTGGCGCCCCTCAACTCTCTCCTCATGTTTGGCTGGTGTCCCTGACCCCCTTCCCCTCATGCTGTCAGCATCCCTGCCCCAGCATCCCCCTGCCAGCGCGCCTCAGCACCCCCAGTATCCCTTCCCTCTCCCCCCCCCCCGTCCCTCTGTCTCCGTCCCCAGTATTCGGTGACCGTATCTTCGCCGTGTGCCGCAGCGCTGTGCGCCCTGGTGTGGGAGACGCTGGGCTGCTGCCAGTCGGTGGCCGACCAGCTGGCAGCCGCCTGCCGGGACCAGCAGCAGGGCGTCGAGACAGTGTTCGGCTGCCCCGGCCGCGTCTCCGCCCTGGTCCGGCTCTGCCTCCGACAGGTGGCCGTCGGTAGGTACTCCCGCGCTCTCGCTCTCGCTCTCACCCTCGCTCTCGTTTTCTTCCTCGCTCTCGCTCTTGCTCTCTCGCTCTCACTTTTGTTCTCTCGCTCTCGTTCTTGCTCTCGCGCTTGCTCTCGCTCTCTCACTCTCACTCTCGCCCTCTTGCTCTCGCTCTCGTTCTCTCGCTCTCGCTCTCTCGTTCTCTCGCTCTCGCTCTCTCGCTCTCGTTCTCTCGTTCTCTCGCTCTCGTTCTCTCGTTCTCTCGCTCTCGTTCTCTCGCTCTCTCGCTCTCTCGTTCTCGCTCTCGCTCTCTCGTTCTCTCGCTCTCGCCCTCTCGTTCTCTCGCTCTCGCTCTCTCGTTCTCTCGCTCTCGTTCTCTCGCTTTCGCTCTGTCGTTCTCTCGTTCTCTCGCCCACTCGTTCCCTCGCTCTCTGCCCGTCTCTCTCTCCCTCTCTCTCTCTCTCCCCCTCTCTCTCTCTCTCCCCTCACTCTCTCATTGTCTCACTCTCCCCCGCGGTGCCGCTCGCTCTGCCCGGAGTGTCGCCCGCCGCTCGGTGGGCCACGTGACCGGGAGGCTGGCGGGGCTGTGTTTCGTGATGGGGACGTCTGGGCTGTGTCGTTGTCGCGAGACTCACGCCGGCCCCGCTCCGGCCATGGCGTAGCAGTGCCAGCATCGCAACTTTGATGCGTTATATAATCGCTGGTTTCAATATCCCGGATGTGCTAAGCGCTGGGAAGCTCACCGCGTTTGCACGGTGGGCTTTCGACGCGGCTGCTGACCCATGTGGTGCGATCGGGAATCACATTCTCTGCGTGGCCTGTGTCATTGCCAGTCCATCCACTGTCCTACAACGCGTACAACTACTTGGACCATTATTGTCGGTACCTTCTCTGACCGTGATCAAATAGAGGAACTAAAACGCTGCCGGCGGCGGGTCTCGAACCCACGCCCTCCGTATCGCACCCGTCTCCCGCCCGCTGACCGCGGCCGGCCGCCGCGCCGGCAGGCCTGAGCAAGCTGACGCTGGCGTTCGACCTGTACGGCCGGCACGAGGCGTCGCTGGACGCGGCCGAGCGGCGCGAGGTCATCCGGTACGCCCAGTCGCGGCTGCCGCTCTTCCTCGGCCAGCTGCAGAGGTGGGTACGTCGCCGGTCCGCCGGCCGCTCGAGCTGGCGCCCGGGGCCTGTGCCGCCAGCTGGTGGCAGGATCTGCGGGCACGTGTGTGTGCGCGTGCGCATACGGCGTGCGTGTTTGCGCTGGCATTCTAGCATTCTCGCGCGCAGGTGATGATAGCACAAAGCGACGTGTATGTGCATCGTGGTACAGTCGAGTGTGGGCTATGCCGGGGGCGTCGCGGTGGCGGCTGAACACAGGCGTGGATTTGCGTTGTGAGCATTTCAAACAGCACTTTTGTTGTACGTCTGTCCAGCCGCGAAACAAAGGGCTGCTAAGTCCCCGGGCCCCGGGCTGGGTTGGGGAGACAGTGTGGTGAGCGGGCCGGGTGGGAGAGACAGTGTGGTGAGCGGGCCGGGTGGGGGAGACAGTGTGGTGAGCAGGCTGGGTGGGAGAGACAGTGTGGTGAGCAGGCTGGGTGGGGGAGACAGTGTCGTGAGCGGACCGGTTGGGAGAGACAATGTGGTGAGCAGGCCGGGTGAGGGAGCCAGTGTGGTGAGCGGGCCGGGTGGGGGAGACAGTGTGGTGAGTGGACCGGGTGAGGGAGACAGTGTGGTGAGCGGACCGGGTGAGGGACACAGTGTGGTGAGCGGGCTGGGTGAGGGAGACGGTGTAGTGAGCGGACCAGGTAAGGGAGACAGTGTGGTGAGCAGGCCGGGTGAGGAAGACAATGTGGTGAGCGGGCCGGGTGGGGGAGACAGTGTGGTGAGTGGACCGGGTGAGGGAGACAGTGTGGTGAGCGGACCGGGTGAGGGACACAGTGTGGTGAGCGGGCTGGGTGAGGGAGACGGTGTAGTGAGCGGACCAGGTAAGGGAGACAGTGTGGTGAGCAGGCCGGGTGAGGAAGACAATGTGGTGAGCGAACCGGGTGTGGGAGACATTGTGGTGAGCAGACCGGGTGAGGGAGACAGTGTGGTGAGGGTGAGGGAGACAGTGTGGTGAGCGGACTGTGTCGTGTTCCAGAGTACTGCTGGGCCTGCGCTCGCTCCTGTCGGCGGCCAACCAGGCGCAGAGGACAGCCCTGGCCGCTCGCGCCGTCTCAGAGGTCAGTCGTTGACCCCTCACCTAGGTCACCTCTGGCCTCAGTCTGGCCCCTCACCTGGGTCGTCTCTGGCCACAGTCTGGCCCCTCACCTGGGTCGCCTCTGGCCTCAGTCTGGCCCCTCACCTGGGTCGTCTCTGGCCACAGTCTGGCCCCTCACTTGGGTCACCTCTGGTCCCTCGCTTGGGTCACCTCTGGCCTTAGTCTGGCCCATCACCTGGGTCGTCTCTGGCCCCAGTCTGTCCCCTCACTTGGGTCACCTCTGGCCCCTCACTTGGGTCACCTCTGGCCCCTCACCTGGGTCACCTCTGGCCCCCCCACCTGAGTCACCTCTGACTCCAGTCTGGTCACCTCACCTTGATCTGGTCACTTTACTGCACCCCTGTCACCTCCGGTCCCTCACCTTGGTCACCTGTGGCCCCTCACCTGGGTCACCGCCGGCCCCAGTCCGGCCCTCACCTGGGTTACATTTGGCCCCTCGCCGGGGTCACCTCTGGCTGCTCATCTGGTTCACTAGCCTCAGCCCAGCCCCCCCCCCCATCTGACCTCGGGGGGGGGGGGGCTGTAAAAGGTGGATAGAGGCGGTGTGTCATGCTAGGTAGGTCTGCGCTTAATTCCCGCCGGCGGGAGTTGCGCCGTGGCAGCCCTGTGGTTTCCATCCGAGCTGGCGACGTTGATGACCGTCTGCGGCAGCTGCATGTGTCAGTGTATAATCGAGCGCACATGCTGACCTCAGATCGGTACGGCCGCGCGTTGTCTCAGAGGTTGATGTTATCCTGATCCCCATAGGCCACTGATGGGTGCACATATGACATGCATACGACTGGCATGCATTTAGTGATAAGCGGTCGCTGCGCACGACGCAAAAACAGACGAGGAGTTCACTATCGCGCAATCTTGGTGACCGGGTACCAGACCAAATTTGTTCTGAATCACAGGATGAACGTATATATGCGAATGTCATGCACGGAACAATGCTTTGAGAGTGAAGCTCACGTGAGGACGTGCGCCCAGCTGACTCCGTCCGTCCGGTATTCTCAGCCGGAGTGGCTCTTACCCGATGTCCGTCCGGTGTTCTCAGCCGGAGTGGCTCTTACCCAATGTCCGTCTGGTGTTCTCAGCCGGAGTGGCTCGTACCCGATGTCCGTCCGGTGTTCTCAGCCGGAGTGGCTCTGATCCGATGTCCTTCCGGTGTTCTCAGCCGGAGTGGCTCTTACCCGATGTCCGTCCGGTGTTCTCAGCCGGAGTGGCTCTTACCCAATGTCCGTCCGGTGTTCTCAGCCGGAGTGGCTCTTACCCGATGTCCGTCCGGTGTTCTCAGCCGGAGTGGCTCTGATCCGATGTCCTTCCGGTGTTCTCAGCCGGAGTGGCTCTGACCTGATGTCCTTCCAGCGTTCTCAGCCGGTGTGGCCCTTACTCGATGTCCGTCCGGTGTTCTCAGCTGGAATGGCCCGTACCCGATTTCCTTCCATTGCTCCCGGCCGGAGTGGCTTCAATCCCACTTCTTCTCGTGTTTCGCAGCTGGAGTAACTCTAACTAACTCTAACTCCGTCGTCTTTCGCGACTTGAGCGGCTGCCCGACCCCGCTCCGTGTTCCGTAGAGCTGGAGTGCCTCTGACCCACCGCTCCCGTGTTCCGTGACTGGGACGGCTGTGACCGGACGCCCTGTCGTGTTGGCAGCTGGAGTGGCTCTCGACTACGGTGTCGTCGGTGCTGGAGGAGTGCAAGGCGTTCCTGGAGGGCGCCATTGACGCCATGACGCTCTCCGAGCCGGCCGCCCGACGCGACGGCTCGCTCACCTACGTAAGCCGTCGGACGGGGTGGGGAGAGAGGACGCGTCGGTTGGCCGCCGTGCACTGCTGCGGGCCGGCTGGCGTAGCGCGTCTGCAGGTGTCGGAGAGCGGGAAGGACTTCGACGCCCGGGCCGCCAGTGTGACGAGTGGGACGGGGCGGGGGCGAGACGCTGTCTAGTGGCTGGTGAAGCTGCGCGCGCGTGCGTGTCCACGTGCGTGAATGTGAGCGTGTGCTTGCGTTTTGCAAACGTGCGCGCATTTTACCTTGTGTGGGGATCCGTTTGACTGTGTGTGAGCTCACATGCCGGACATCTGTGTACGTGCCGATATACGTGTGTGTTCCGAACCGCGGCGGGCCTGCGTATGGCCGAAGTGGTGACCACGTGTTCGTATCTGATGGTGCGGGAGCGAACCTCTGCGAAAGCGAAAAAAGCAGGAATGGAAAGAGTTCCACCTCTGTTGGTGCAAGTGCTAAAGATGTGTGTTCATTGGTCTGGGTGCTGAACTGTGAGAGTTAGCGCTGAGCTGTGTCTGTATATGTGGGAACTGTTGCTGTGCTGTGTCCGTATCTGTTGGCAGAGGTGCTGAGCTGTGTCTGTGGGAGCCGGTGCTGAGCTGTGTCTTTATCTGTGGGAGCTGGTGCTGAGCTGTGTATTTATCTGCGGGAGCTGGTGCTGAGCTGTGTTTTTATCTGTGGGGGCTGGCACTGAGCTGTGTCTTTATCTGTGGGAGCTGGTGCTGAGCTGTGTCTTTATCCATGGGAGCTGGTGCTGATGTGTGTCCGTGTCTGTGGGAGCTGGCGCTAAGCTTTGTCTGTATATGTGGGAGCTGGTGCTGAGCTGTGTCCGTATCTGTTGGCGCAGGTGCTGAGCTGTGTCTGTGTATGTGGGAGCTGGCGCTGAGCTGTGTCCGTATCTGTTGGTGCAGGTACTGAGCTGTGTCTGTGGGAGCTGGTGCTGAGCTGTGTCTTTGGGAGCTGGCGCTGAGCTGTGTCTGTATCTGTGGGAGCTGGGGCTGAGCGGTGTCCGTATCTGTTGGCGCAGATGCTGAGCTGTGTCTGGGAGCTGGTGCTGAGCTGTGTCTTTATGAGCTGTTACTGAGCTGTGTCTGTATCTGTGGGAGCTGGCGCCGAGCTGTGTCTGTATCTGTGGGAGCTGGCACTGAGCTGTGTCTGTATGTGTGGGAGCTGGCGCTGAGCTGTGTCTGTATCTGTGGGAGCTGGCACTGAGCTGTGTCTGTATCTGGGAGCTGGCGGTAAGCTGTGTCTGTATCTGTGAGAGCTGGGGCTGAGCTTTGTCTGTATCTGTTGGTGCAGGTGCTGAGCTGTGTCTGTGGGAGCTGGCGCTGAGCTGTGTCTTTGGGAGCTGGCGCTGAGCTATGTGTATCTGTGGGAGCTGGCGCTGAGCTGCGCCTCTATCTGTGGGAGCTGGCGCTGTGCTGTGTCTGTATCTGTGGGCCCCGGTGTTGGGCTGTGTCTGTATCCGAGGGAGCTGGCGCCGAGCTGTGTCTGTATCTGTGGGCCCTGGCGCTGAGCTGTGTCTGTATCTGCTGTCGCAGGTGCTGAGCAGCCGGACCATGCTCTGTCTGCACACGCTGCTGGAGCGGGTCACCCGGGCCAACATCTATATACTGCAGAAACGGTAACCGGACGACACTGCGTGGCTTTGCCCTGCGCTTTGCCAGGGTGGCAACGTGCGGTCTCTGCCAATATTGAACTGTTTCGTGGGACCTCGAGCTGTTCTCAGTAAAAGACCGAAGTTTTACGACGTACGGCGAATTTTTGATGGGATGGATTTCTGGGATCAGCCTTCATGCTGAGCAGTGCTTTTTATGTGAGCCCTGACCCCAATGTCCAATCATGAAGATCCAGGTCAGCGACAGAAGTTTGCGGCGAAAATTTAACCCGTCGTAATGCTCGGCACCGTTCACCTGCCCTCTGACGTCGCTGGGTTTTTAGCGCGGCCGCTGCCATCAGCCGCAGGTCATCCCAGTCAGGGGTAAATAGCAAGTGTCTAACACTCGAACACATCCCACCACGGGCGGGGACATCAGAGGACATGGCGCGCTCCAATCAGCGGTGCCACCGGGAAGGGTCGTGTGCAACGTCGAAGCGGCCTTTGGTCGTATCAGTCCATAATCCTGGAAAAGGACATGCCGTGTTTAGAGCGTCAGTCTGGACCGCTTCTTTTGTGCAGGGATGGCACATAGTGGAGCATCTGCGTCGTCCGAGGTGCTCGATGCTCCAAGTGTAAAGATACAGTGCCGCACCCTGCAGCACCCTGGCGATACAGTGGAGCCCGTCTGTGTCCGTGCGCCGCTCGGTGGCCGCAGTGTCCGACTACCGTGGCCGGCAGGGAGTACCTCTCGGGCGTGGGCGAGGCGGGCGGCGCTCGCCTGCTCTCCCACAACGCCGAGCGCCTGCTGGAGCAGCTGCCGGCGCTGGTGGCGCGGCTGGAGGACGCCGCCCGCCTGGTCGACCAGCAGATCAACTGGCGCGAGTTCAAGTTCTACTTCATCGCCACCGCCTCGCGCGTGGTGAGCGCCGGCGACGGCGGCGAGGAGGGGGGGGGGGGGGGGGGGAGGCGGTGTTGGGTGAACGGGAATGACGGTGGGTGCGCCGTGTGGAGCTGGTGACGTCATTGGGGCGGGAGACGCATTGGGGAGGGGAGTGGGCGAGGATAGGTGCTGGCGATCAGCTTCTCCGGACTTGGTTGGCTCAGCCACCGTGGTGTAGCATCTGGGTAATTCTCCATTGGTACAGATGGGGCCAGTGTGGACGACTGCAGCTATCAGCACCACAGAATTACGTAAAGTTCAGTCTCGAAGAGGACGCTTCATTACGGAAAAAGTATCATGTGGTTACTGCATTTGGCTGCCTCAGGCGCTCACAATTCCACGACACGACACAGCGCTGACACTGACAGCATTGTCGCACGACAGTGAGACGGAACGTGTCCCGTGCCTTAGCACGGAAGTGTCGTGTCGGCGTCAGCAGACGTCTGCCCCGCGGCGGATACTGAGGCCGCGTGGGTGGGCCGCTCTGACGCACCTCCCTGACAGCACCACATCATGGAGCTGCTGCGGTCGCAAGCCGAGGTGCTGCGGCCGCTGGCGGAGCAGCTGCAGCTGCTGGTCGGCGAGGACGAGCTGACGCGCACGCTGGTCCGCCTCGGCCTGGCCGAGGCCTCGCCCACCGGCGAGCGGACCAATCACACGCCTCTCGCCGAGCAGGCGGCCAATCACACGCCGCTGGCCGAGCGGGCGACTAATCAGACACCGCTGTGCGAGGCCGGTCCACAAGACGACACCCCGCGGGTGAGTCGCTGATTGGCAGCTGCTGAGCAGGTGTTTTTGAGGTATGTTTTTGATGATGTATTTCACAAGCCAGGCAGGCTAGCTGGTAACAGCCGTAGCTTGAGCTATTTAGGGTAAGTGCACGACCTGTTGAATTCATGTTTTCTAATTAACTTTGCACTTTGTAGAATAGTGTTACTCTGTATGGCGAATACAGTACGCGGCATTGTAAACTGAGAAGATGTGTGACAAATGACCGCTTTCATTATGTGCCCTTTCCGGATGTGTCATTGTTGTCATGATAAGGTGTACCATGCCGTAGTATGTACGTCAACACCATCCAACCCCCTCCGAACGCTCACTAACGTTTCGCGAACACACCGACAGCTGTCGCTGATATCGGCCGTGACGCGGCCTCCCCTCAGCCGTGACAGTGAACTCGCCCGCCGCTGCCACCGCCTGTTCGAGTCGGGCGAAAACACCGATCTGAAGTTTCCCGTCCTCGGAGACTCAGGTACGGCTAGCATGGTCCTGTTGCCGTCCATATTTTATCCGAACACCCCGGCTTGCTGAGGCTCTGGGCTGCCAATGATCGCCATTCGCACAGACCAAACCTAAAGACGTAATCTACGCCGTTTTCTTCATTCAGCACGTGACCCTCCTCGCCATGTCCCTCCGCGCTGGGAGCGTGCTGCGTTCGTGAGGCGTGAGTCGACCTCCGTGGCTGTGAGTCTGGCCCGAGCACTGACGCAAACCCCGATGCGCGGTCCCTGCGGGAGTAAGACTCGGTGGCGGCCGAGACCACGAGTCGCCGCAATACTACCAGATACCTGGCTTCCGCTCTCCGTGATCCCTTAGATTTGAAATTACCAGGCATGCAAATTATTGCTAAAAGCAATGCAGCCTGATCAAATGAGAGGTGCTCCGGTGTCATTCGTATGAGCCTTGCTTCTGAGAAGATTTGCTGTGGAGATGATGCTGTTTTCTTGTTTGTGTATTGCCCACTGTGGTCTTTGTAATATCTCACGTCTGTTTTCAGTGCTGCCGTCCCTGCTGGGCACGCCCAGTCCCGCCATCTCTGAGAAGCAGCCGACAGTTCTGCTTGCGCACGCGCCGGTGGTGGCAGCACGGTCGGAGTGGCTGCGGCGCGCGCTGGCCTCCGGCATGCGAGAGAGCATAGACAAGTGAGCGGCCGGCGGCGGCGCCACGCGGCACCGGTGTGCGCTGATGTGCCGCGGGTGAGGTGTGCTGCCCTCTGACGGGATGGCGCTGCTGGTCTCTGAGTGGGAGGGGAGCTATGGGGCGGGCCGCCTCCCCGCACCCCAGGTCTTGGCGCTGGCCGCTCTAGACGGCGCGCTCCCTGACAGTCGGTGCATTCCGAAAACCTTGCGACCAGCGGCACTGTGTGAGTACTAACCCCATCAGTGGCATATTTTGTTTTGCTAGTAGAAATGTGGCGTGGGTGAACGCTTTGGCTCAGCACTTTTCACAAACATGTCAGTAGCGTTACCAGAGCTGCGTTTTCCAACTCAGCGTGAGACGATTCGGCGTCCCTCAATCGCTGATCGGAACTTTCCTTTCCTTGTTGCTCACTGCCTAGACGTTTGAAAATCAACCAACTGAATGGCGCGGTGTGCTTCGTGTCCCGTTTTTGCACTTCTGATACTAATGAATACTCGGTCTTTGCATGCTGAAATCCGGGCTGTGTTTCTAGTTTATGTAGCTGTAAATAGGTTCAAAATATTCACAACGTGTGATATACTCAATAACCGGTCAAACGCCTGCCCCCCGCCGGTGACGTTCGCGCGCGCCATCAATAACCGAACAAACGCCTGCCCCCCGCCGGTGACGTTCGCGCGCGCCATCAATAACCGAACAAATGCCTGCCCCCCGCCGGTGACGTTCGCGCGCGCCATCAATATCCGAACAAATGTCTGCCCCGCCGGTGACGTTCGCGCGCGCTATCAATATCCGAACAAATGTCTGCCCCGCCGGTGACGTTCGCGCGCGCCATCAATAGCCGAACAAACGCCTGCCCCGCCGGTGACGTTCGCGCCCGCCATCAATATCTGAACAAATGTCTGCCCCGCCGGTGACGTTCGCGCGCGCCATCAATAACCGGCCAAACGCCTGCCCCCCCCCCCCCCCGCCCTTGACCTTCGCGTACGGCGCTCCCGTGCTGCAGGCAGATCTCTATCTGCGACGCGTCGCCGGCCATCTTCCGCTCGATGCTGGAGTTTCTCTACTGCGGTCACGTGACGCCGGAGAACTGGCCACCGGAGCAGCTGATGGAGCTGATGGTGCTGGCCGACCGGTCAGTGGCCCCGCCGCGCGCACCCTCCGCTCTCAGTCGGAGTCGGTTGTCAGTTCTCAGTCGCTGTGCCCGCTGTCGGGGTTTGTTCTCAGGTCTCGATCTCTGTGCTGTCAGTTGGAGTCTGTTGTCAGTTCTCAGTCGCTGTGCCCGCTGTCGGAGTTTGTTCTCAGGTCTCGATCTCTGTGCTCTCAGGTGGAGTCTGTACTCAGTTGTTATTCTCAGTTGGAGTGTGTTCCCAGTCTCGTCTCAGTCTTCAGTCTCTGTGTTCTCTGTCGTAGTTTGTTCTCAATCCCCAGTCGTTGTGCTCTCAGTCGGCGCATGTTCTCAGTCCGTGTCCTCAGTATGTTCCCAGTCTCTGGTCTAAGTCTCTGCCCTCTCAGTTGAAGTCTTATCTCAGTCTCAGTTATCGGTCTCTGCTTTCAGAGCCTGTTCTCGACCCCAGATCTCAGTCTCGGCGGTCGCAGTCGGAATCTCGCGTCAGTCTCAGTCCGCAGTCCCTGTGCTCTTGGTTGGAGTCTGTTCTCGGTGTGTGCTCTCTGTCGGAGTCTGCTCTCAGTCTCGGCTCATTAGAGTTGCTCTCAAGCAGAGTCTCGTCACAGTGTCAGATTTCAGTCTATTTGCTCTCAGACGGAGCCTGTTCTCATCCTCCGCTCTCAGTCTCTGCGCTCTCAGTTGGAGTATTGGCGAAGACCGGCCGTTAGCGACTGAACGTATTGTCGCCTTCTGATTGGCGGACGCTGCTGGTGCACCGTTTTAGATTGGCCGATGTCGCTTCGTTGCCGTGCGTGTTGTTCGCCATCATGTTGCCCTTGTCACCGACTGACTGATGCGAGTGCTGCTCTGTGCTGCATTAGTCGGAACCGCTGTGGTCATTGCGTTGGTCGGTTTCCGTCGCCGTGATTATTCTGCTCATTGGCCGACGCCGTCATGGCCGTGACTGATTGGTCGCAACCACTGTGGGAACCATGCTGATTGGCCGGCGTCGCTGTAACGCAACGGCCCATTGGCAGGTACGAGCTGGACGACCTGAAGCACTCGTGCGAGGCCCTGCTGGAGACGCACATCGACGAGGACTCGGTCTTCTGTCTGCTCAGCATCGCCGAGCAGTACAACGCACGCAAGCTGAAGGTAGCGTCGATCAACAGCTCAATAGCCATCAATAGCCATCAATAGCTCAAAACGCCCCTGCGAATGCGTCTGCACGATAGGATCCGTTTGCCGGGGCGCACGGCGCCGCGTGGTCCTTGGTTACCTTTTTTCGCTGTGCCCTGGGCGCGCCGCTTCCCGTCGCGTCACGCATTGTCCGTGGGGCTGCCGATCGCCACACTCAGGCTGGAGCACCGCCGCGTCATGGTGCTCAGAACAGGTCACGCGGTGTCATTGTGCCGCCCCCGGGCGTGTCCAGCCGCCGGCCGAGCCCGACCTGCGGTCGCTCGTGCGGCAGAGCTCTGCGCTGGAGTTCGTCGCCACCAACCCGGAGGTGGTGCAGACGGAGCTGTTCCTGGAGCTGAGCCCCAGCCTGCAGGCCGAGGTGGAGGAGACGGCCGTATGGGCGCCGCCCAGGTCGGTCCGCCGGGCGGAGCGGGGCGGAGCGGGGCGGGGCGGGGCGGGGCGGGGCGGGGCGGGGCGGGGCGGGGCGGGGCGGGGAGGGGCGGGGCGGGGCGGGGCGAGGCGGGGCGGGGCGGGGCGGGGCGGGACGGGACGGCAGGCGGCAGGTGCCGCTCCGCGGTCGGCAGTCGGTACGGTCCCGCGCCATGTCTGGGCATCAGTGGAGACGTGGTGTTGGTGACGTGTGGTGAGGTGCCGGCCGATCTCAGGTCCTTAAATAACCGAACAAACTTAGGTCCAGTGGGCCGCTGGCCTGACTGGCGACCGTGTGACCCTGACCTGATCGGTGACCCCGGCCCCACGCCCAATCCATGCACGATGCGTGGTGTGTGACGCGACCGCGACCCGACGTTTGACCGTCTGACCCGGCCGTCCTGTTGCAAGTCTGTTGGCCGTGCGCCTCAGCTGACCTGACCCCGGACCTTACCCCGCGTGTGACGTGTGCCGCTGACCCGAGCGTGTGGCCGACAGGGCGCACCTGGAGTGTGACGCCTCCCACAAGCGGCCCCGCCCGGCGCCGGAGTCGCCGGGCGACTCTGCCGAGGAGCTGGTCAACCTCACGCGCGGCATCCACCTGCGAGAGGTGAGGCGGCGCGAGCGGCGCGGCCGGGCCTGCTGCACCGCAACAGCGGGAGGTCAACACTCACCACTTTCGCGGGCGGTCGATACTTGGACGGTTTGGACGGCGTCACATTATGTCATTATTTGCAGTAGGCTTGCAAGGCGCTCAGCCCAGTGCTTTGACGGTGGAAATGACACATGTTTGCATTTAGTTCATGTCCAGGTCATATGTGAAAACCACACACCAGCAGCGACAGACAGTGATCATCTGGTGGCAGCTAGTGATTGGCTTCATCAGCAGGACCGTCTTACACTCCTGGGCTCAGACATGGTCCCAGGGGACACGCACGGTCCCGGCCACTGCCCACACTCCTTCCCACCGTCGCCGCCGCCGCCTCGTTGCGCCGGCCGTCGTCGGCCGCTGACGCTAGCTCCCATCGCCGCCGCCAGACGTCGCGCTCGTCGTCGAGCTCGCAGGAGGAGTCCGGCCCGCCGGCCGGCGGCCGCCTCGAGGCGTGCCTGCAGCGGCTGCGCAGCATCGTCGGCGAGGACGTGGCGCGCGCCGAGCTGATCCGCGTCGTGCTCGCCGCCGACTACGACGTCAACCGGGCGCTCAACTTCTTCTTCTCGGCCTGAGCGGCGCCCGCGGCGAGGGCGCGCGTCGCCCTCTGCTCCGGGCTGGAGCGGCGTGGGAGTGTGCGGGAGCGGGACGCGACGTGGTGATGGCCGCCGACGGCAGCGGCGGGTGGCCGGGTCGGCCGGTCCGGTCGGCGGGCCGCACCGGCGGTGGACGGTGGCCTGGCGCGCTCGCCGCCCGCCGCGTCAGCTCGGCGGTGACGTCACTGAGCCCGCCAGCCGCCGGTAGGGGACGCAGCACGCCCCTGAGGCCGGCCGCGCGCCGTGGGTGCTGGGCGCCCGGAGAGTCTCGCCGCCGGCCGCCAGTGTCAGGCCCGGTGTCGGTTTGGACAGTCAGTGTCGGTCGGTGTCACCAGCTGGACGCCGGGGTTTGCTGAGCCGCTGGTACGGTTTCGTTTTTGTTTCTGAGGGCGGTTGAACTGTGAATGGAGGGGTTTGGCGGAGGCATTCCCGTTTTACCGTCTGGACGTGGATGTTATCGGGCAGTATTTTAGACCATCGTATGTTGTCTGATTTACATTCGGAACTCATGGATGTGCTGCATGAAGACGAAACTATGTATCAAAACGTCTGTTAACGTTTTTAGGCGTTGTGTACTAGTCGCAGTGAGTTGGTGGCTCCCTAACCTAGTCTCGAACAGCGGTCGGTTGCGCGCAGTGCTGTAACGCGTCGGGAGTGTTCGCAGTAGCCGCCTGGGCTGGGCTATTGCTGCTGCCAGCGCGTCACGCAGGTGGCAGTGCTGAATCACAAGGTCCAGAAGGTCGCCATGGGTGTCAGCTTAAGAGACCCGCAAGCTGCATGGGCCGCCCTGCTCCCAGTGCCGTGCCAGGGCCACGCAGAGCCCGCGCCACGCGGGATCCCGTGGCTCGTCACCTCCCAGCCGTCGTCTCGCGACGTAACCCGTAGGGTCAGTTCAGATCGCGCACATTCCAGCCCAGCCCGCCGCCCTCTTCTCTCCACGGAGACGGCATCCGCAGAGACCGCGTGGTGGTGAGAGGTGAACGGCCTATTGCCCGGTGCCCTCCGCACCGGCTCTACCCCCGCCACGCCTGGCCCGCGGTCTGGCCAGCACTCTCGCTCGACCGCGTGACTGTGCTGCGCGCCTGGCCCGTCTCTCGAAGCTGTGATCTTTGATTGTGCGATTTGTGATAGCATTTGTACTTATTGACATTCGCCGCCGTCTGATATTGTTTTCTCTCGCTGACGTGAGTCACCTATATGTTCGGTCGCTTATTTATGTGCGGTGTGTACGTTAGTTTAACATATCCCATTTTCGTGTGATCGTGTGACAGATTGTGCACGGTGTTTTTTGGTCACGAGCGGAGTCGCTCTCCGTGTTGTGAGAATCATATTTAGTCACATATATTTTTAGCTGACGCCTTCCACAATCGGCCGAAGCTATCCGTGTGCGATACGCCGCTTACGTGCCGGTACTATTCCCATTCCAGTCTTTCTTTGCACCGGCCTCGATGCTGTGGCTACCTTACGATTAGTTCGCCCTTTGAACTTCTGTGCGGGTCGTAGTTAAACGGAGGACGTCGGAGGGGAGGGGAAGAGGTATGAGGACTTGACTGATTTCGTGGCGTCCCCTCCCGTCACCCGCCCCGTAAAGGTTCCGCGTGGGTGCGGCTTAGGCCGCGACACGACTAGAACCTCTCGGTGTGACTCGGGGCGCGAGAGGACTCGCCCCGTGCGATGACTCGGGCGTGGGAAACGACTCGAACCCGTCCCACGACCGGGGTCAGTCTCGCTCCCACGCGCGTCGCCGCTGCGTTTCCCCCTGCGACGCGACGATGTTCCCATACGCCCCAGGCCTCCGTCAGTCACCCTGCCGTCTAATTGCTGTACCCGTGAACCTCCACCTCCCGGGGCCCCCGCGGCCCCCGCGCCGTTGGAGAGTCTACCCGGTGTGCTCTCCCTGAGCGGGTGCGGCGATCGTGTGCCCTCCTCAGGCAGGCGTGGCACGTGTGTGTCCCCGCGGCCAGGTGTGGTGCTCGTGTGCCCCCTCGGGTAGGTGCGGCGCTCGTGTGCCCCCCGGGCAGGTGCGGCGCTCGTGTGCCCCCTCCCGGGCAGGTGCGGCGCTCGTGTGCCCTCTCCCGGGCCCCCGTCTGATGTGCGGCGTCGAGCGTCATGGCAATACACGGCCTCCGGTCCGATGGCTGTTTGGCTGCGCGTGGACACGCGTTCGTGGATAAAAACACGACGGACACGTTCATCGGTGGGATATTTCCCGCATGATGGATTGACATCTGGCCTTGACATGACACTGGTCAGCGGTGACGCTGTTCTGGAATCAATCGCCTATCCACGCGACCGTAGCTCCATCCGTGACCCGAGCTACGGCCGTCGGAAACCCCTCTCACCCTGTCTGGTGAAAGGGCGGAGGTAGTATTATCCAATGATCTGCACGGCATACCACGAGTAGTTAATTAGAGGCACGTGCAGCAAGCTTTGCTTAACAGGTACTCTAAACCCGACGCCAACCACGCAAATCATTGGAAGAAACCGCTTCAAAAACGTCGCGGACTTCGGTCGCTGAATCAGCACAAACATCCGCCCGCAGAACAATGGCGGCAGTACATGATCACGGACGCCGGCCAACCGACGCACACAGCGGCGGCCAGAGTCATCTCGGTATTCTTCCAACGGAGGCCAGTCAAGCATATGTCGGCAAGTGAGGGCAGTATACATCCTACGCACAAGGCTATCACCCTTTAGACATATGGCTTAATCTTATATATGAAACTGAACAAACGATTTCTGTGATTAAACGCAATGTATGCGAGGTTCTCCATCCGCTCTCGTCAAATCATGGTGGTGTGTCTTACATTCTCTTGGTACGATGAAACCGTCATCCTTTACTTGACACAGACACTGTATAAGCTCATCAAAAGACTAGTTCCAGGGGCCGCGACACGCTAACAGGGCTGCCGCTCCTCAGCCTTCACCCCAGTCTGAGCCCCGTCCACGAACTCCTGATGCCGCCGCACCAAGTCCGCCACGATCGCCTCCTCCAGCTCCGCGTCGCCGCGGCGCTCCACCGCGTCCGCCGCCGCCGGCGTCACCATGGTAACGCGCTGGCGTCGCGTCTGCAGCAGGTTGGCCACCACCAGCTGGTGGCCGTAGCGGGCGAGGGCGGCGCGCGCGCGCGCCACCAGCACGCGCTCGTCCGTCTCCAGCTTGAAGGTGGCGACGAAGGCGGCCGGACACCAGTCGGCAGTGAGCCGGGCGAGCGCCTTCGGCACGGGCTGCAGGTGCAGCGTCAGCGGCTGGTCCCCGCCGGAGACCTTGTGCTCGACACGTTCCTCCGCCGGCACCTGGAGCGCACCGGTGCGGCGTGAGCGCTGCGCGGAGTTGGGAGTTGTGAATTTAAATGCCACATGTGGTAATATTCGCGGGCGGTTGAGCAATGTTGTGGAGCTTGAACTGGTCTTTTCTGGCGCAAACCCGACATTAATTTCGAGAAATCCTAAACCCCGAAAATTTCGACGGGTTAGGCTATTTCGCGATAGCATTTCGGGCCGAAATGGTATTACGAGATGTGTCATGCACATACCAGGCTTCATATGAACACAGTGCACATGATAAAATACACGATGCACTGCAACATATTCAGTTCTTGTCAGCTGTGCCGGATTCAACACTTCAATACCACATTTCCGTCAACACTCTCCACGTCAGCATAAACGGAACGCGAAGTGGCACTGTACCTGAAAGTCGGAGACGGCAGCAGCGAGCAGCAGGAGTAGACGCCGTCCGAGCGGCGCCAGCGCGCCGGCCGCGGCCTCCAGCAGCGCCAGGTACTCGTCCACACTGGTGAAGAGCAGCGTCATTAGACGGGCGCCGTCGCGTCGCGCCGCCTCGGCCGGCGCCGCCAGCCGCCGCGCCGCCGCCTCGCCCAGCGTCCAGCGACCGTCAGAGCCCTCCTCCAGGCCGGCCAGCAGCTCGGCCGGCCGCACGTGGCGCGCGTGCGGCGCCAGCGAGCCGCGCCGGCGCAGCAGCAGCACGGCGTAGCCGCGCGTCAGCAGCTGCTCGACGCACGCGGCGCCGCGCTGGCCCGTGCTGAAGTTGTCCAAGAAGCGGACTGTGCGCTGCTCAATGGGCGCTGTGGTGCCGCCTGAGGTCACCAGCGCCACCAGTAGCTGGTCCCGCGAGGCCAGCGTCAGGAACTCTGTGAGACGCTGGGCAATGTTGCCGTTTTCTGCCTCCAGGTCTTCCATTGGTGGGTGTGTGAATGTGAACTGGAATTTTCTGTGGAAGGAGTGAAACACATTAAAACAAAACATTGAAAAGATAATGTATCAAGCTGGTTTTCCAATGATGTGACACAAAAATTGATGAAGCTGAAAAGTTCTCATAAGCTGAAATACTATGCCAGCGTGATTTGCCATCACACATTTGTCATGAAAGCCAGAACCATGACATAAGTGGATGAAACTGTTTCAAAACATGAATCATTGCCAGATGCATATCCAAAACTCTCATATGACCATAAAAATCTCAAGAAGACATTGAAACCCACAAAATAAAAGGATTCAGTTGTTTTGTGGACCTATCAGTTGTTCCTGACACCATGGATACACAATATTTGCTGGCCTCTATGTATTTCAGCCAACTCCTCTCCCTGATGTGGGAAGAAATATAATGCACAGAGACCCAGTGGGCCTAGCACAAATTATTTGAAGGAATTCACGATGAATTCTGAAGACACATTGCCAGCGGTTTGTAGGAAACTATCCGACCAATCCCTCACAACCGTACACGTTCAAAATGTGTTCTGAGCTTGCTTCATCCCAACGTGAATGTTATCAACAATCAAACATCATTCGGATTACGTGCGAAATCCTTATTATTGGACGGGTGCCTCAACTAGCCATTTTGGAACTTCCTACTCTGCTATCCCCGCTGCCCATACCACTCGGACAACTCTGCGGACACCTCCTGGCAGCCCCGAACGTCCTGCGAAACATAACATGACAATGTATCCGTATCCTACGCAGAGCAGACAATTGTCTCTGAAAAGTGAAATGTTTGGAAATGACGTAACACTAAAATGATATATAGCATTTTGGAATGTCATCGGTTTTCATAGAACAACATGCATAAGAATTGCTATGAAAATATTTCTTTATATCAAAAATGTTCTTCAAATGGATGTTATCAGGCATTTTATTGTCACCAGTTGTTTGTGAAATCACCATGGGACACACCAATGAAATGCTGCACTCATGTAGACGTCAACAAAATTTACCAACACAATCCTCAATGACTACGATTGACGGCGTGGAATCCTGTTTGGGATAAAGTGCATAGGGAGTGCCCCTGGGTGGGATGTTTAACGAACTAATGTGGGATAAGGTAGTGTCAGGACATATAAAACCACAAGACGACTAAGCTCCCTAGACGTTGATCCATTTTTTGTATAGTTGGCTTCTGTTGATGGCGAAAGGTGGACGCGAATAGTTTTGGGGCATAAGAACAGGTGCCGATCTCTTATTTTGTGTCGACGAAGTATCGCGACTTATACCAGCGAGAGACGAATTGTTCGATTTTACCAGCTGTTCGGGATCTGTGAAACACAGCCCTGCACTTCATAGCTGTTAGCCATGGCATCAAATGTGAGTAAACTATGGTGGTATGTGACGTGCACATTGTTGTATGAATGCCTTGTGAATTCAGATTGGCTAAATGTATGTGTCTTTGCATGTTGGTGATGGTTAACTTCATATGTGAGGCATATGCTAAGTGCATTTGATGCTATCCCATTTCACATTTTTGCCCTGAATTTGCAGGTCAAGTGCATGCATTATGCATATTCCCCCGAATTCAAGCATAAAATAACAGGGACACTGTGTTTAATCTAGGAAAGGTCAAGTTGTAATGGATGCAGTTTGCAGTCCCGATCAATGAAAAACTCAGTGGGAGATCAGTTATGTGTTCCACAAAATTTGCAGCCATTTTGGTGGAACAATCTGTGAATATTTTCCAAGTTTGGGCCACAAGGGTAGCATGCTTTTTATGTGCCTTTGTGTGCAGCAGCATATGGATTTCAAGGCCTGACATGTGAATACATCTGCAGCAAATCATTAATGCAGTAAAATTATTATTTTTGTAAAGATACTGCAGCACTAAGGTGCAGTGGTGTGTAAAATATGCAATGTTTTGATGGCATTATTGTCTGTAACATACTTTTGTTAGCCATGGCAATATGTAGATGAACATTTTTGAACAGAGTTGGTGGCATATTTAGCACTGATGTCAAAAAGGAATACAACTAGTTATAGGCCAGATGATTCAAAACTAGGTGAATTGTTTAAGGATGACTCAGGATATGTACTGAGATGAGTGTTGGGCACACATGTTTATGTTGCAGGCACCCCTTCTGGATGATGATGACACCCCTGCATTTGGAGAAGAAAATGAAGACCATGGGAAATTAAAGTAAGCTAATATCATGAATGTCAACCATTCAGCTGTTATTGTTAGCAAAGGTAAAAGGACAGGAGTTAAGCCCATTCAGAATGTATCTCTCCATTCAATGTCCATTGGCAGGAGTTGCCAAACAGCATCCAAAGAGAGCACTATCAATTTTGTTTGCTAGAATTGACACCCAACTCAAAATGGAACGTTGTGGCATTCACCACCTCCATGTGATTGGGTCTGGTCATGGTCCATTTATCAGCCATGTTTTGACTCCCCATTTCCCAGCAGACTGTACATTCACTCTTGCCATGATCAATTCATATGGCCTCTTGCCCAGGTCACAGACACCTCTCAGTATCATTTCATTATCAGTATGTATCAGTATCAGTATCATCAGTATCAGTATCATTTCATTCATGTTACTTGCAGTCAACCTGACATGGCCACCATGTGCCATGCACCTGACCTCTGCCAGGGCCAGCATGCACCCATGTGTGCCACATCATGCCCCATCTAAGTGTGCTGTGTGCATGCTATATCATGCCCCATCTTTTTGTGCTGTGTGTGCCTTATCACATGCCATCTAACCATGCTGTGATTGATGTGGCAGGCACCCCTTCGTCACGCTGTTTCACCTACTGTTCCGGTTCGGAGCTATCATCGTGTACATCCTGGCTAACTGGTTGGGCCAAGGCTTCATCAGCTGCTTCATCATCATCATCTTGCTGCTGTCAGCAGACTTCTGGACAGTTAAAAACATCACAGGTACAAGCAGGAGCCAGCGGTCGTGCTGTGTGGTTCACTTTCCTGGACTTGTTTTGTATTCAAATTATGTTGAAATAACTTCAAGTCAGTTTCAAAACCAGTCTTTTGAAGCCATACCCTTGATGTATGGTTGTTAGGCATCATTTCTGGCATGTATGACCAGCTCAGTATTCACTTTCCTCCTGCATTTCATTGTATCCCGTCGCTCTAGCAAATGCGCATGATGTGAGCGCTGTATGGCATGTGCCGGGATCCCAGCAGGATCCAGGATTCCGTACCATTGTGTTTTAACAGGAACATGGCATCTTTTTGTGGGCTCCAGGCACGTGCCTGAATGTATGACGCGTATCGCGGCCCGCGTAAGCGCGAGGGCGCCTCCGCTGTCACCACCCTCCGCTGTGACCGCCCTCCGCTGTGACCGCCCTCCGCTGTGACCGCCCTCCGCTATCACCACCCTCCGCTGTGACCACCCTCCGCTGTGACCGCCCTCCGCTGTGACCACCCTCCGCTGTGACCGCCCTCCGCTGTGACCACCCTCCGCTGTGACCACCCTCCGCTGTGACCACCCTCCGCTGTGACCGCCCTCCGCTGTGACCACCCTCCGCTGTGACCACCCTCCGCTGTGACCACCCTCCGCTGTCACCACCCTCCGCTGTGACCGCCCTCCGCTGTGACCACCCTCCGCTGTGACCGCCCTCCGCTGTGACCACCCTCCGCTGTGACCACCCTCCGCTGTGACCACCTTCCGCTGTGACCGCCCTCCGCTGTGACCACCCTCCGCTGTCACCACCCTCCGCTGTGACCACCCTCCGCTGTCACCACCCTCCGCTGTGACCACCCTCCGCTGTGACCACCTTCCGCTGTGACCACCCTCCGCTGTGACCGCCCTCCGCTGTGACCACCTTCCGCTGTGACCACACTCCGCTGTGACCACCATCCGCTGTGACCACCCTCCGCTGTGACCACCCTCCGCTGTGACCGCCCTCCGCTGTGACCACCCTCCGCTGTGACCGCCCTCCGCTGTGACCACCTTCCGCTGTGACCACCTTCCGCTGTGACCACCCTCCGCTGTGACCACCCTCCGCTGTGACCGCCCTCCGCTGTGACCACCCTCCGCTGTGACCGCCCTCCGCTGTGACCACCCTCCGCTGTGACCACCCTCCGCTGTGACCACCTTCCGCTGTGACCACCCTCCGCTGTGACCACCCTCCGCTGTGACCGCCCTCCGCTGTGACCACCTTCCGCTGTGACCACCCTCCGCTGTGACCACCCTCCGCTGTGACCACCTTCCGCTGTGACCACCCGCCGCTGTGACCGCCCTCCGCTGTGACCGCCCTCCGCTGTGACCGCCCTCCGCTGTGACCGCCCTCCGCTGTGACCCTCCTCCGCTGTGACCCTCCTCCGCTGTGCTCCGCTGTGAGCACCCTCCGCTGTGACCACCCTCCGCTGTGACCACCTTCCGCTGTGACCACCTTCCGCTGTGACCACCCTCCGCTGTGACCACCCTCCGCTGTGACCACCCTCCGCTGTGACCACCTTCCGCTGTGACCACCCTCCGCTGTGACCCTCCTCCGCTGTGACCCTCCTCCGCTGTGCTCCGCTGTGAGCACCCTCCGCTGTGACCACCCTCCGCTGTGACCACCTTCCGCTGTGACCACCCTCCGCTGTGACCACCCTCCGCTGTGACCGCCCTCCGCTGTGAGCCGACACACTGTGCGTGACGTCGCCGTGCCGAATTCGCCGCCGCCTGACGGCCCGCTGACCCGCCAGGTCGGCTGATGGTCGGTCTGCGCTGGTGGAACTACGTCGACGACGACGGCACCAGTCACTGGGTCTACGAGTCGCGGAAGGTGCGTCACGACCCTCGCCCCCGGCGTCCGGGCCGGCCGGCAGCCGGGGGGCGGGGAAGGGGGGGGGGCAGAGTGGGACGGCCGGAGTCCGGCTCGGGGCCTGGTCCAGTGTTGCCCTGCCGTCGAGTCGCCGCGGCAGCCGCACGCTGAATTGTCTCCCGCCGGTCTGGAGACGGCACAGACGGCGCACGTGCCGCCACGCGACGCTCCCACACCCGTCCGCTAACCTCCGGCCGGCGTCACTGCGAGCCGGTGCCGTGACGGGCCTCGCCGCGTCCTGTCGCCCGTTGGTCGGCGCCGTTTGCGCGCGCCGCTCCGTTTCGCGCCGCGTGCCGCCGCGTATGTGCGACGGGGCGGCACGCCAATACGGCCGGCCACCGGCTGACCCGGTCGCCGGCCGTATTGTGTTGGTACAGGCCCTCACGATGCCGCGGTGGCAGGTTTTCTCGGTTCTGTCGTGGTGCTGCCTTGACCCAGTGCGGTCGTTGGGTCTGGTCTGCTCTGCCGGCGTGTTGCCACGGTGCTTTGCGTTTGCACGTCGCTGCGGTCCCCGAGTGCCTTTGTGTCATGGACCGGTGTCGCCTTGTGCTGGCCTGTGCTCC